ACGCCGACACACCCTCGAGCGTCTAGGTTTTCAAAATGGCGGCCGGTAAGGGCGGTGGTCAAGGTCGCAAGAGATCCACTTTTAATGAAAACCTGAGATCTAAACTACTTTCATTAGATAACGAAGGTCAAGGTACTGTAACAGCTAATGGAGAGGTTCCTCTCACTTTTCAATCATTTTAATTTCTTTAATTACTTTTTCGTATATGTGCACGATCCTTCGCAGTAAAGCACTATTTAAGCAATAGTGAAAATCAGACCTGAAAAAAATTCAGGCCTGTACGGGATTCGAACCACTGACCTCTGCGATACTAGTGCAGCGCTCTACCAATTGAGCCAATATATTTATTTAATATATATTTGTTGTTTAATTACTTTTTGTTTTCTGATATGACACCAAAAAAGGAAATTTTGTTTACTAGAGAAAAATCTTAAATAATTTTCATTGATCTTTTTGAATGATCATCATCTCAGATTAGATAATTCATGCACGCGAAGATAAATTTGATTCGACAAACATCAATTTTGTTTTTGAACCATATGCCTCTTGGGTTTGTGATGAAATGCTCCGTTTAAAGGTCAGCTTTTGTCGGAGGCTACCCCACAGAGCGAACAGGTGAGCCAAAAACAATAGCATGATCGGCGTGGAAATTGAAAAATGCTGAATAATTAATGTTGTAATTTATCCAGCGAGGGTCTAGCCTCGGTTTTACAGCGGGAAAAGTTCAGGGAAAAGGATTATTTTACCGAGAGAGAAAATGTCTCAATTTGCCTCGTCGACATTTGCTTGGATTTTAACAATTACTTGGAGGCTCTTTCCAGCAGTTCTTGGTAAGTTTCCTGCTTGGTATGATAATTTCAAGAAATTTGGAACTTTGTTTTGTTCATAAATAAACCTCTGCTTTGAATAAATTTTAATTCCAATCGTCAAAATAGGGATTTTAGAGAATTCTATAGCATTTTTAACTGTTTGCTTTATTTAGAGTTTTTTGCATCGTTGATAAGCCAATACTCGCGCCCTTCAGTTCAGAATTCTCCCTGTCTAGAGTGCTCTACATAAATTTGAACATAATTTTTAACAAAAGGTTTTTCATAACATAAGTTTCTAAAAACTTTTCGGCAGCAAGACTTTCTGAATTCCTAAAAAATCGTTGTTCGAAGAAACTGGATCGAAAAATAAAAGATAAAGGAACTCATTTATATTACCAAGTGGTGTTAAAATTTAAACTTTAATTTGTGCGACTAATTTTAAGTTTGACAGGAATATGTCACAGGCTGTTTGTTTTGGTAACAGAAGACTACCAGTTGTTTACTCAGGGTAATTCACATTGCCATCCGCTAAGAATAAAGTTTATTTATTGATTCATGAGCCTTAAAAGCGTCTCAGGTGCTTTGAACTAAGCATCCCCCGCTAATTGAAAAAATATATATATATGTCGATTAGTTCATCGCGAAGTTTCCCTGTGACTGTAGATTTCAACATTTGTGAGAACATTAATCGAGTGCCATTAATTTCGCATATACTAAGCGAATGTTAATTGACTGGCGTAAATTTTTTCAAATCAGGGTGATTTCATGTAATTTATTCTTCATGATGTAGGCCGTAGCGTTGTCACAGAAAATTTTGCTGAAATAGCAACATATTCCCAACAGTTTGTTCTGCAACAGTCTTTCAAAAACATGTCGCGTGTCTTGCAACTTTCCACTTTAAGATGTTAAAAGTATTTTCCTAGGAATAACTCGCCTTTTAGAGTCAAGCTAAAAATAAAATTGCAAATTCATTAACGAGCAAACATCCAACAGAAAAACCGTCTAAAAAACATCACGATAAAACTGGGAGATGCAACTTTCCTTGAGTAGCAGACTGATCTCTGTACAAAGTGACTTTTTTAAGCAGCGTTTGACGTGCAACCGTTATTCCGCAATAGTTATTCCGCAATGAAATTTCTCCAGGACGGTCAGGTGGCACTTCTTTATAATTTATATTTGAGTCGTGCAGAAAGCCTTGACTGAATCCCAGGAGGGTTTATCTTTCACCTAGCCATGCGCATACCCCTACTCAAATTTTCCAAAATGCCCTTTTGCGTTGTTCGTTGGTACAAGCAAACATCTTTGCAATCTTTACACTTTCGAGTGTGTCCCTAATCGATTTGTGACAGACTTTCATCTTTTCCGACACATTCTGAACCTTGTAGGTTAGCATTCGATTAGCTTCCCACAAACAAGATTTAATCATGTCAATACGCGCTTTCTTGGTTAATGGAGAATTGCTGCAGTTGGTAAGCTTCTCAAACACAGCCCGAAGCTGTTGAAAGAAAAATTTTTACAAGATATCATCTCGCTAAGCGCTATGTTGATATAGGGATTTGTGAAAAGATCACGAGATTGAATATTTTGCTAATTTTAATGATGCGCTAGCGATATCCTCGGTCAAGAACGGGGGGGGGGGGACTGCCCCCTGCTCCTCGCTCCGCCGCCTATGCTAAACGCTGTCTATGCTAAAGAAACAGGAACACAAATATGTGACAAAAACCACGAATGACATAGAGATGTTTTGCTTCCTTGCTTTATCGTCCACACGTCCACAACGGGAATACAATTCTCTAAAAAGTTTCCCTTACTTTTTCCGGTTAGTAAGAATTTCGCGGACAGGTGTGACAAATTTTTCTCGTGAAACTATTTCGTAATCCAGGCTATACTTAACCTTTTTATATTATTTTCCAATAATTGACAGGAATAAACGGAAGCACTTCCTTGCTAGCTTCTGTTACAGAAGTATCATCACAGCCCTCGATTAAACTGCATTTGTCAACCAACACACCAGCAAACACTAAGATTTTTACAACTCAAGTCGAAGACAGTAAACTGTCTAGTATCATGGTGATGTCACCTGGCAATAGCAGTATCCAGACGTCTGCCGTCTGTGATAGGCTTCTAGACTCAACTCAAGTGTCACTTCAAACAGAGTATTTCCATTTACCTCAACCATCGTCTAGAATAACAATTTCATCTATCCGAGCCACAGGTGGTGTAGTATCTCACCGTGGCCAAACTCTCTTCACTGGTGCCCCTGTGCACTCAACAGTTCCAACTAACGAATCATCCAGTAAACTCTCTTCTATAAAAACTTCTAAAGCTCTCGTAACTTTCAGCAGGATATCCTCCTTTCCTGCTTTTTTAACAAAGGAAAGCGAGTTAATTCCAGCTACATCAACGACAGTTTACATCGCTACGACACCAAACCCTCAGTCTGCTACCTCCAGCTACAAATATAACATATCCAATACTATTACCTCGGCAAAAAGGTCAAAACGGGCCGACAATGTTGCACAAGTGACCAGTATGTCATCACCACAGGGGAGCTCAACGATACCAATTCCTCAAAATAACACAAACTCAATACGGGTGATTATGTCGTCTGCAGGTATTATTGCCCCAAGATCAAGAACTTCGTGTAATAACAGCAGCGTGTGTCTCTTAAATCTGTCAGCTAAAAACAAGGCAACTACCGTCTCATCGGCGCCGATTGCTACATTGAATTCACAGTCAACCAAAGCCACACATGTTACATCCGGAGAAGAAGTAACAGTGTTTCCTAGTGACACAACTCTTTTAACTACATCTGCGACCTCGAAAGGAATCTCTGTTAATATAATGACTTCTCTTGACGAGATAACCAAAACTACTGGCATTTCTCAAAATCTTCAAGCAACAGAGGTGATATCACATTTTGTTCGGAGTGGTACAGGATCAGCTTCATACTTAGTACGCATTACGTCAGTACGCAGTAAATCAGTGAGAAAAGTGACCACTCGACAATCTTCGACGACTTTTCTGAATGTTGAAGCCTCGACACTTCCATGCAGCAATGCCGATCAAAAAGCATCCTCGTTGTCCCCTTCGCGTGTCAAGATATCTACTGCTTTAAACAGCAAACACTTTAAACAAACCACAACCACCCACAGGCACCATAAGACAACAATCACAGCACGTCCTTTGATGTCGTCATCCGTGGAAACCTCCGGGGAAAGGCTCAAAACTCCAAACACTGGAAACCACAGCACACAGCACGTTCGTACCTCTGTTACGTCGAGTATAATCTCAATAAAGCGGACCATCAAATCTACCTCACACGATTCTCATCAACTTGGTACAACTTCATTGCAGAAGGCCACATCAACATTAACGAGCAAGATGTTGACTACAACATCAATTGTTCATCACAGCCTTCCACGGTTCCGAACGTTCACACCACTATCCTCCGCTTTTTTCATCTTGAAAAGTTCACGCGAATTGTCCGAATCAAAAACAGAAAAAATTCCCAAAACAGTCTCAATAGCTCTAAGCGACTCAACCCAGTTCATCATAAGTAAATCAGGGAGATTTAGCAAAGCCAGTGTACTCTCCACGCATCAACAGTCATCATTGCCAAGCATATCCAGTAACAGATCACTTACTGGTCATTCCAAAATTTCCAAAACAGTCTCAATAGCTCCAAGCGAATCAACGATTCCTCTTCCAAGTAAAATCGCAACAATAGCGTCTAGTTCATTATCCGATGAAATTTTCATCTCAAATAATAAATTGTCATTGGGGAGCAAAACCATACAGATCAAGAAGTCCAAGATGTCCACTTTGAATTTAACGAGTGTGGGTGAAACGTTAGCGTTGAAGTCGTCTTCAGCCCAGCTTATTATAAGTAAACCAGGGATATTTAGCAAAGCCAGTGTACTCACCACGCATCAACAGTCATCATTTCCAAGCACATCCAGTACCACATCACTAACTGGTCATTTCAACATCTTTATTTCGACAACTTCAATGATAACCTCAAGTCGCCCATTGCCTCCAAAGTCAATACATTCCACACAGACTTTGACTCGTAATTTTCCGTCATTCACACAGGCAATAACATCGAAACGCGAGACAAGTCCAACTGCCACACCTCCAGGTACATCACATGTTCCGAGAACCAGTGAAAAATACTCTTCTAAACAAAGTAGTCAAACCATATCAACTGTGCAACCAAAGACGGCATCGAGTAATCGAAACTTGTCATTACCTGTAACTTCAGTAAGGCCTTCCCTCTCTTCCACGCCCGGATCTGCAACCAATAGGAGCCCATCTATCGGAAAACCGTCAACAAGGTACTCATCGTTAACATCAACATCGTTGTTCCCACCAAAGAATACTACACCTCAAACCGTTGTGATCACAAGCCAGGTGACGGCTGATAGTAAAATCCCATCGTCATCACATTTGACCTTGACCAGTATCTCGAATGTTTCACCAACGAAAACTGTGTCTTTGTCTGTTACGTACAGTTCTAAAGGTGTGAGGTCTGCATCACTCATGCATAAATCCTTGGTAACCTCAAAGAAGACCAGGCCAGCGTCGATTTCAGCTGTTACTTTAAAGCTTGAATCATCAGAGGTGAATTCTAAGCTTTTTCGATTTTCTGCAACCAGTCTCCACTCCATTGAATCTACTGAATCGCTTGAATCAGTAATTTCAGTCATGACACTTGCTGGTCACTCAAGTTTAACTTTCTCTCCTAAAATCACCGTTGTTACGTTAGAAAACACCCAGACTCAGGCCTCTACAGAACCTCAAACAGCTTTAAAAGTTACAAGACAGAGTTCACAAATCTTCGTTGATGCAACAACAGTTGGAACTGCAACACCAGTACTAGTGACTTCATCCAGTGCCTCGACACAAACGGAACCACCGCTCGAGATTCCAAGTCAATTCGAAGGTCGCATGATTCTGGGAATGCCGTGGAAACCCCAATACGAGTATCCTCCGGGATCCCAAACCCTTGCAACAACAATAACAGAAAAACTAACCAAAGCGCTGAATGATCTTGAAGGTTTCATCTCAGTGCAAGTTTTACGTTTGTGGAAGAGCAGTGTCGGCGTCGATTTTGTTGTGTATGTAAATAAGCAAGCCTCTGTAGATGAAAGTGTCGTAGAAAGAAAACTCATTGAGGCAAATAGTACTGGTGTTTTAGACCTACCTTTAACAAGCCTTCAATTCAAAGTAAAGGACACTCCAACGACACAGAACTTACCCACAACTAGCTCCACAACAGAGGAAAAATCCATTGAGCTTTGGGTCATCATTCTCATTGTTGCCATTATTCTGGTATTCTTGCTGTTGATAATCATTTGCATAATAGTGGTAAGTACATTTATCCGACAGGCTTGTCATATCACATCATCAAATTTCTTGTATCCATACTTTGAAAATATAATTACATCAGTAGAATCTTTTGTTTCCACTCTAGAGATCTCTAGGGCCTATATGACGCAACTTGCATGCAAAGTTTGTAGATGGGCGGGTACTGATACGTGATAATAAAGGCCCACCAATGAACAGCGGGATAATAAAGGCCCACCAATGAACAGCGGGATAATAAAGGCCCACCAATGAACAGCGGGATAATAAAGGCCCACCAATGAACAGCGGGATAATAAAGGCCCACCAATGAACAGCGGGATAATAAAGGCCCACCAATGAACAGCGGGATAATAAAGGCCCACCAATGAACAGCGGGATAATAAAGGCCCACCAATGAACAGCGGGATAATAAAGGCCCACCAATGAACAGCGGGATAATAAAGGCCCACCAATGAACAGCGGGATAATAAAGGNCCCTTCGTCGGAGCTAACGCTCGAAACGTCAGCTTTTGTAATCGTTACGGTGGCCAATTTACCATTTCAACTTTGTTGATATATCCAAATTATATTGTCTGTAATATCTTACTATCTTCTTGTTCTCGCAAAAAAACTCATTCAACTCGTATAACATCGAAACATAAATACCACATGATATTTCTAGCAGTTTTTCACTTACCTGGTATGAATCAAAATTGTTAAAAAAATCCATGTCCCTATTTACGTCCAGAAACCAGGAAATGATGTGCCTCGCCTTGTTGACAGTGATTAACATCTATACGAGTAATAGTTATTGCGGAAAAATATTGTGTTGTTCATTATCACGACATTTTTAATGGAACTCTTTGTTAATACCTTTTTTAAAGGCAAAACTAGGTAAACAAAGAGGTGGTTTACGTAAAAGTGGAAAGTACAAGCTTTCAAGCTTCGACAACTTCTTAAATTCTGAACAAACAGAGTCAAGGACAAAACCTGTGATACTGAAAATGCAGGAACGAAAACGAACTGTCAGAGGAAGTCGAAAATCTGTAGGTCTATACGATGTGTACAGTCTTACGAATAGTCACAGTGAAGAGAGCCTTGCACAAAGCCAAAGTCCGACAATTAGACCATCAGACGATTATAGTGTTCCCGCGTATAGGAATTCGAACAATGACTCCACAACTGTGTCATCAAAAACACAAGAAAGAGCTAAAGACGTTCGGGACGATCCCAGTCAAATTAGCATTCTTCTAAACGATAGTATGACGCCATCAATTGAGCTTGATAATAAAAGTAACCAAGGGTACAGGAATTCCCACGAGGACTTAACTGCAAACGAGGCTGTGCGACTACAATTAAGTGAAACTAAACAAATCTCTGAAGGCCCAGAGGCATCGCAGCCCTTCGTTAAGGTAAGTACTGATGATGGTAATGAAGTAAGAGGAAACTCACGTGCCAAGGAAAACCAAGTAAGAATCTTTGCACATCATTTTAAATGAAAAGCGATTCCCTCAAAATGACAGCTGATGAAATATTTTCCCTAACCCACGCGCTCTAGATGTTCCTGATTGTTGCCAAAATGCTTATTGAAATAAACAGGTCCGTTTAGTCATTATGAATAAAAAAGACCTTTCAAAAAGCCTTTCCATTTTCCTCAACGGATTTTCCACACTAGGAAACCTTTACCATCAACGTTTGCCGCTCAGGCGCAAAACCAACCTCGTTCCCAGGGTCTTTCATCTTCCTGACCCCTAGAGCCGTAAAGAATTTTCTTTTTGTCGCCACGGAAAGATATGGACCGTTAGTCGTAAAATGGCCAACATTTTAACCGGTAGCCGTAAGATCCATCACACCATCGAGACCCACCTATACCTTATTCGATCACTTACATCCATCAGTTTTCATCACAGGGCGTTACCTCGACCAGCTAAGGTGGTGTTGACCAAAATAAATGCTACGGGCTTGATAAGGAGAGCTGGACACCTCTACAGAAGATGGAATTCATGGCCAAGGTCTTCGAAGTTGCATAGAACAGAAGTAAATCGAACAATCAATAGTAATCGTTTGCAGCGTAGCTACAGTGTTTGCAGTTTATCTGCAACTATAGAGTCAATTAACAACTAGAGAAAGATATGCCAATCGGTTTCTAAAATAACAGTGAGCCCCTTTAAAACCGAAATTCTGTCAACTTAAACTAAAATAAACAGCTATTGTCATCTTTTTTTACCACAACCGTAAATCCATATCTTATATACACAGAACAAAATGCCAATATAAATGCAACGAACAACGTCCAAGTGAGTACTATATTGTTTTATTACGAAATTCTGACCCACTATAAAAAAACCTTTACAACTCAAAAGGCAACCAAATACAAAGGTAGAAGTCTTCAAGAGGTAACTACAAGCGGGAAAGACAAGACAACTTTACTTCTCTCAACATTTTTCAGATTCAAGAGAGTGAAAAGCGGTTACAACGTTTCATGACAGAAACTCGTTCTCGGTCAAATAAACGATAAAATATCAGTTTGCTTTCATTGACTACTTAAAGGAAATCGAGTTCGCTTTAAGGTATACAAAGGGGGAAATTTTAATCAAACCACAATAGCTACTCAGCTAAAATTTCATTTTAAAGGTAAAAGGTTCAGAACCAAAGCAAACGTTTAATACAATATAATAATATAGGTTATTTGAGGTTCCCCCGTAAAGGCTTCTCAGCCACAATGTAATGTAACTAAGTGCTTTAAAATCCCCACTGGCAGGAGGCAGACCAGTGGGCTATTTACAGAGCGCATCCGAGGAGTTGAACTAGGAGCAACCAAGAGCAAATCCTGTTGGGCAGGGGCAGGGGCAGGGTGGACGATTTGAACCCGGGACACCGGATTACAAGTTTATCACCCTAACCACTCGGCCACGCCGCCTCCTTACTTAACGTTTCAAGTTAAGTAAAGGCTGTAACTAGATACAGTCTTTTTTCGGCAATATCGGCAACTAAAATTACGTTCACTCAAAGTAATAATTGCCGATAAATTTGACAAATCTTAGAAAAAGCCGTTTTGACCCAACGAATGCGTAGTTCTAAGCCTAAATGCTCATTATCTATATGCGTTTATTGAGATCTGGTGGTTTTGTATATTTTTTTTTTTTCAAGTACTCATCATGATTACAATTCTCCCTTAGCGTACTAATCCGGATAAGCAATGCTACAATGATACCGACGATATTGTTACAATGATACCGACGATATGGTTACTATGATAACGACGACATTGTTACAATGATACCACCCTTCTTAATCTCTCAAGAGCACACCATAAAAGGACCAATACTCTGCATCGATACAACGCGAAAACTCTATTAGTTATTTACAAAATACGGTTCCCATTATCATCAATATGCTACTGCCAGACTGGCAACGAAAATTGTTACTGTAATGATATAAAATAAATATCTCTAATTCTGCTATTGACTACCCAACCGACAGAGTTGCTAGGCAACATAACTTCTCTTTAGAATCAAATGGCGCTTTTTTTTAAACAGAAATGATCGGTTAGGCCATCCTGTTAGTGTAAATGAATGGAACAGTTCTCTTCTTGAAGCTGATTTGACTAGTTCTGAGAAAAACTGATCCCAACCTTTGTGCAATGCCTGTCAGTTTTGTCGCTTCTTCGTGGAATACTCGCGAAACGCTAGCGACTTTCGACTGCAAAAAAAATTCTATAATTCTACAAAAAAATTCTATAATTCCTTTGGTATTGGAAGCACACAAGAAAGTATATTTTAAGTTTTGGAGTTCGAGAGCCATTTACATCGGAAGCTAGAATCTTTTCTTTCAGTTAAGCCCAGAACTTATCAATGGAAATGCCCTAATTCTGTGACCTCAAGATTAAAGTTAACGACTATGTATTACTTTGCTAATTATGTATCACTATTGTGATAAAAGGGCAAAATATAGTTATATTCTAAACATAAAATAAATCCGAATCAACAGGAAAGACCTCGAGAATCAAAGAATATATAATTCCTGCGCGCGCTGATTGGCTGGTTCAGAAGTGAGTAGCAAGAACCATTCACCTTTGAGCAGCCAAAGAGACAAAATCGCGCGTCAAGAGTTTTATTCCCGACCATTTTTCGTCATATTGACAGAAATAAACTAGTTGTGTGGTTTTTTTGTGGTATATACTGAACCAATTCGTCACCTCAGTGTCAGTGAAAGTGGTGGATAATCTCCGTCCACTTCGGTGAAAATTGTTAAATATGGAAAAGTAAATTTTCGAACGAAGCTCTATACAAAGGAGTTACTGTATACCCGTAAAATAATATCGACAATTCTTCAAAATGACACTTGAATGGTTGAGAAAATATGAAACTCTGAAAGAAAGCTTTAAGATACAAACAAACACACATTGACCTAACTGTCCGCATACATCCAAACAAAAACTTTGGAGGCTTGTTGATTTTCTTGGCTTCCACTGAAGACTCAGTTTTCTTAGTTTTTTTCTTTCTACTGCTGTAAAATAACAAATATAAACACTTATGTCAGTGATGCAGTATGTGAGAGACTAAGCTATTAAACGTTAGATTTCGCCATGAAACAAACACGAAGATAAGCTTGAAAAATGATACTGATGGGAAGAGAAGAAGGGGATGTGAGGGAAATAGGAGGTAAGGCAAAAGAGGGAAAAAGGAAAGAAAAGGAATGTGGTTGGAATGCAGTGAGCCGGATAGACGGAAGCAAAGAGAAAGAAATAGAAGGAAAAGGAAAAGAAGAAATGGGTGAGAAATAGAGAGGAATACAGATGAGGGAAGGAAGAGACGTGCTATTCGCGAAAGGAAAAGAAAGATAAAAGGAGAGAGAGTGAACGGAAGACGAAGGGAGGGAGAGGAAGGAGAAAGGAGGACGCTGGAGAGAGAGATGGAGAAAGAAGGATAATGGAAGGTTTGGGAGAAAAGGAGGGAGAGAGGGCTGGAACAAAGCATGGGCGAAAGTATGATTGTGACAAAATATAGAGAAAGGGAGATAAAAAGAGAGGGAAGGGAAAAAGGAATGGAAGGGGGAAATGGAGGCAGGGAAAAGGGGTGCAAGGGGAGAGAAAGGAAGAAAAGGGGGAGAGACGAGGGAAGCAAGGAGGTTTAGAAAGGAGGAGGGAATATTAGTCATGGAAGGAGGAAAAGATGGATAGGAAAAGGCGAGGGTGAAAAAGAGAACGCGACAAACGATGGGATAAACGGGAAATGAAAGAAGGAGAAGGAAGGAAGGAAAAAAGATGGAGGGAGACAGGACTGAGAGAGTCAGACATACGAAGAAAGGAAGCTTTACGAGAGAGGGACGGGAAGGATGGCAGGTTAAGTGG